AAACCATCTCATCCTCTGTTGTCCCCTTCTCCTCCTGCCTTCAATCTTTCGCAGAATCAGGGTCTTTTCCAATGAGTCAGTTCATGGCATCAGGTGGCCAAAGTATTGGAGTTTCAGCTTCAGCATCAGTCCTTCCAATCTACATTAATAGTGAAGGTAAAAAGACTTCTCCATGACCTGCCCTGATCTGACATGGGCCAGAAGCTTAACATGCAGAGTATACTGCTTTATAAACATCATGGTAGTGCATCTATCTTGTTCCTGGTAACCTATCTACACAGTCACTGTCCTTGGTCAGGGCCATTCTATTTCCCATCTGAGCAGTGACAATAAATCCCTCTGTTTTTCTGTCTCTAAGCTGTTGCTATCCATTCAACCATTCACCACGTTGTATTGGTTTACTTCCTTCTCATGATAAAGAATCTTGTAATGACTCCTTCATGCTCATGAAGTAAATTACAAAATACTGTGATTTTACTTTGTAGGAATTCTATGATCTAGTCCAAGACTATCTTTAGAAATAATAGACATTTTTTTCACATTGCTTCATATCTTAATATATTTTTTAAATTAAAAAATTAATTCTATTATGGATATATATTTCAGATATATGCATATGTACATATCATGTGGAGATATATATATATCTCCATATATTCACTAGAAGATATATAGTGAATATATATATTCACTTTCTAGTGAATGCTCTATTTTTGAAATTAAGATTTGGTGTTTGCGTGCACCCCAATGTTCATCGCAGCACTGTTTATAATAGCCAGTACATGGAAGCAACCTAGATGCCCATCAGCAGACGAATAGATAAGGAAGCTGTGGTACATAAACACCATGGAATATTACTCAGCCATTAAAAAGAATTCATTTGAATCAGTTTTAATGAGATGGATGAAACTGGAGCCCATTATAAGAGTGAAGTAAGCCAGAAAGATAAAGACCAATACAGTATACTAAAGCATATATATGGAATTTAGAAAGATGGTGATGACAACCCTATATGCAAAACAGAAAAAGAGACACAGATGTATAGAAGAGACTTTTGGATTCTGTGGGAGAAGGCGAGGGTGGGATGTTTCGAAAGAACAGCATTAAAACATGTATATTATCTAGGGTGAAACAGATCACCAGCCCAGGTTGGATGCATGAGACAAGTGCTCGGGCCTGGTACACTGGGAAGACCCAGAGGGATCGGGTAGAGAGGGAGGTGGGAGGGGGATCGGGATGGGGAATACATGTAAATCCATGGCTGATTCATGTCAAGGTATGGCAAAAACCACTACAATATTGTAAAGGAATTAGCCGCCAACTAATAAAAATAAATGGAAAAGAAAAGAAACAGAAAAAAAAAAGATTTGTTGTCTGAATCCCTTCACCTTTGTTTCTGCTGAAGAAGAGAACACATAACAAATAAGCAGTAAAATAGAAACCAGATCTGCTCTTTTGTATGTACTAATAGCCAGGTGAGGAACACATCTGATAACTGATGGATTGGACAATAAAGCTTAGACATGAAAGCACTGGGATTTACTTTACTACCCATCAAACAGCTTTTGAAGCCAGGTTGCCTTTCTGTTGTTAGGAAGATTATATTGCATCTGGTGGGAGGCATGTTGGAGAAGCAAGACCTGGAGTCTTGTTCATTCGATGTGAGGCATCATGCTCCCAACTGTTAGGGCCGGTCCTCAGTAGCCACTTCTCCTACAAGTGACCATGGCTCTTCTGTGGAAACGTGCTATTTTAGAGAGAAAACAAATGCATCCAAGGAGCCCTCCTTCCAGCACAGTGCTTAATACTGTTCCTTGCAGAATTTTTCTGGAGTCATTAGGTGGTACCGAACAGCGCCTGGTCCCAAGGAACGCATCAGAACAGACTTTATCAACTTCAGGTTACCAAAGCCTACACTGAATTTTCAACTTTAATCCAGTTTTTCACCAATTTTACCTACAATTCTATACATAATAATTAATTTAGAGGATGAGACCAAATAAATAAATAAAGTGCCTGTTCCTTGCTAAGTTAAAATGAGAAAATCATCTTCCCACTGTTTTATTTATTCCAATTTCAGCCAAAGAGATTGCACTCAGATTGAGCTGACAGTTCTGTAGCAGCAGTTACATTTGGGGCCATGTTTCCAACATAGATGTACCTGAAGTTGCATTTTATTGGAAGGTGAATTAACCCAATACTAAAACATTTGCATTTTCCCTCTTCCAATGGATTTGAGTCAGTAAAGCACAACAGAATTTATCTTAAGCAAAAGATATCCCCCAGATTCACATTGCTGTCACCAGCAAAGGAAAATAGCAGAGTTTTAGAGTTCTCAAGAGAAAAAGAGAATAGCTTAGCTTCCTTGGTGGCTCAGAGGGTAAAGAATCTGTCTTCAATGCAGCAAATGCAGATTTGATCCCTGGGTCAGGAAGATCCCCTGGAGAAGGAAATGGCAACCCACTCCAGTATTCTTGCTTGGAGACTCCCATAGGCAGAGGAACCTGGAAGGCTACAATCCATGGGGTTGCAAAGAGTCAGACACGACTGAACAACTAACACTTAGAAAGTATCAAAGATTGGTTTTTAGTTTTTCAAGATTTCAGTCAGCCTGTGCATAAAGCAGAGACAATACTTTGCCAAAAAGGTCCATTTAGTCAAGGCTATGGTTTTTCCAGTAGTCATGTATCGATGTGAGAGTTGGACTATAAAGAAAGCTGAGCACCAAAGAATTGATGCTTTTGAACTGTGGTGTTGGAGAAGACTCTTGAGAGTCCCTTGGACTGCAAGGAGATCCAACCAGTCCATCCTAAAGGAGTTCAGTCCTGGGTGTTCATTGGAAGGACTGATGCTGAAGCTGAAACTCCAATACTTTGGCCACCTGATGTGAAGAGCTGACTCATTTGAAAAGACCCTGATGCTGGGAAGGATTGGAGGTGGGAGGAGAAGGGGACAACAGAGGATGAGATGGTTGGACGGCATCACCGACTCAATGGACATGAGTTTGAGCAAGCTCCGGGAGTTAGTGATGAACAGGGAGGCCTGGCATGCTGCAGTCCATGGGGTTGCAAAGAGCTCAGACTGAGTGACTAAACTGTAACTGTGTATTTATTTTAGAGTTCACCACCACTTACATTAAGTAATATACATATATACATATATAACTATATATATGTATCTTCTAACCATTAATTGTGACTTCATATTTCTCTTATGATGGGATAAGTTAACCATAGAATAAAATACCTGTGCTTTTTCTTCTCTTTAGTCAGTTCAGTCGCTCAGTCATGTCTGACTCTTTGTGACCCTATCGACTGCAGCACACTAGGCTTCCCTGTCCATTATCAACTCCCGGAGCTTGCTCAAACTCATGTCCATTGAGCCATCCAACCATCTCATCTCTGTCGTCCCCTTCTCCTGCCCTCAATCTTTCCCAGTATCTCTCCCAGTCAGTTCCTTGCATCAGGTGGCCAAAGTATTGGAGTTTCAGCTTCAACATGAGTCCTTCCAAAGAATATTCAGGACTGATTTCCTATAGGATGGACTGATCTGATTTCCTTGCAGTCCAAGGGACTATTAAGAGTCTTCTCCAACACTGCAGTTCAAAAGCATCAATTCTTCAGCATTCAGATTTTATAGTCCAACTCTCACATCCATACATGACTACTGGTAAAACCACAGCTGTGACTAGATGGACCTTTGTCAGCAAAATAAAAGAAGACCTTTGTCTGCTTTTTAATATGTTGTCTAGGTTGGTCATAGCTTTTCTTCCAAGGAGCAATCGTTTTTTAATTTCCTGACTACAGTCACCATTTGCAGTGATTTTGGAGCCCCCTAAAATAGAGTCTCAGTTTCCATTATCTCCTATAGTAGGATGATGGGAGAGCAAGAATGACTGTTATGCTCCAGGACAATAAATCTAGAATGGAGTAAGCCTGAAGGAAGAGAGAGTTAACAGAATATCTGATGAGTCTGATATGGAAACACAGTTTAGACATTTCAGAACTTGTGGATAATCTGATGATACATATGGAAGAAACTATATGAAATATATAAAACAATTATGCACTTCAGGAACATGTTTTGCAGAAAAGAAACTGTGATCATAGTGTATTATATGGTTAGTTGGCATACTATTTACTTTGTCATAATAATGTAAAGCTGGGGACTTCCCTGGTGGTCCAGTGGCTAAGACTGCATGTTCACACTACAGGGGGCCCAGGTTTGATACCTAGTCAGGGAACTAGGTCCCACATTGTTGTTCAATCGTCCAGTCATGTCTGATTCTTTGTGACTCCATGAACTGCAGCATGCAGGCCTCTTTGTCCCTCACCATCTCACAAATTTGCCCAAGTTTGTGTCCATTGCATCAGGGATGCCATCCAGCCATCTCATCCTCTGACACCCTCTTCTCCTTCTGCCCTCAATCTTTCCAAGCATCAGGGACTTTTCATAGTCAGCTGTTCAAATCAAATAAACAAACTACTGAAGTGTCAACAACTTCAGCATCAGTCCTTCCAACTAGCATTCAAGGTGAATTTCCCTTAAGATTGACTCGTTTGATCTCCTTGCTATCCAAGAGACTCTCACGAGTCTTCTCCAGCACCACAGTTTGAAGGCATCAGTTCTTCGGAGCTCTGCCTTCTTTACAGTCCAGCTCTCACAGCTGATTGAGGACTCAACTATGTTCATGTGAAAGTGAAATGACAAAAGAAATTAGCGTTAGGTATCAGTTTTTGTGATTTTATCTGACTAGCTGAGACAAGATGAACTGAATTAGTTTAATGCCTATCACACAGTATTTCAGAATTTTTTATTTATATAGCTATCAAGCCTAATAACAAGGCTTATAGAATATCAAGCCTAATAACAAAGTTTGTAGCCAGATAATGAAATGCTTTGAATTCTTTTTTTTAAATTACATATCAGATGCATGGAATTATTTGGAAATATTTTAGATAAGCATCCAATGAGCCCTTCTGTTTTAATCTCTCTTTCAGGCCCTGCAGTTAACGTCACATGCAACATATTCATAAACAGCTTTGGTTCTATTGCTGAGACAACCATGGTAGGTAGGCCTGTTGACTTTATAATGAATTGCACACTGGAGTAATTTATAATCATGTTCATGTCATTTTTTTCTGCTAATTTTATGTAATTTAAAGCTAAAATTCATATAATGAGATTTTAAAAGATAAAACTGATTGTATAATTAAATTACAATCAAGGAAGGTAATAATGTTTCATTTAGAGACGGTATATTAGAGAATAAAAGTAAGTGAAAACACAATTGATCTCTCTCATTTCAGTAACTGTTAGATCTCACATTAAAACTAAAATTAAAAAAAAGTAAAATTTTACCATATGAATTATTCATTTGCAATGTTCTTTAATAAGCAGAAATAAGCATAGGAGTAAATAATGTCATGTTTAATTATTCTGTATGCTTAACTGTGCTTATAATGTTATTTTAAGTATTTTGATTACTTTTCCAAATAAATGTGGTATCTGCTTAAATATCATAAATATTTTGCAAATTGTGGTGTGTGCTTTAATTTAACTAAACTCACTGAACTGAGACTTCATCACTGTGTGATTGAGAACTTAATCAAGTTATTAAAGCCCAACAAATTATCATTCCAAGCCCAACTTATTCTGCTTTGGATTTTATAACTTTCTCTAAAGATCATGTTGTATCTTTTCTTTGTCCTACATTTTCATTGTGCATTTAGGGAAAATAAAAATGCAGAGATAGACTCATGAATCACTGAATATATGTTAAGATTATCAGGGACATTTTTTAAAATTGAAACTATGTATTGTGCTTCTTAAATTACCTAGAGTTATACTTCATTCCTAAATTTAGCAAATATAATCCAAATTAATTTTCAGAGTTGCTTTTAGCTAAAATATGATATGAAGAACTTAGATTTATTAGCTAAAATCATTATTAAAAGAATTATTCTTATTTTACATGTATCAGAATAACTTGATAGCAAATTTTCTAAGGAAAACTAATCTAATATGTAAATTATTTTATGGGGAGCTGTGTGGAGTTGTGTGTGCACATGTGTGTATATATGTGTATATAGAAGATCTTTCTCAACAGGAAGAGATTTTATTCAGGCACTACTTTTTAAAATGCTGTTTTGCTCATGTATATGTTTAGTCATTTACCAGCATCTCTGTGGTTCTATTAAAACTCAATACAGTGTAATTACAATAAAAGCATCACTGGAAAAGAACTGAACTCATTTTGGGGAAATTGCATAGAATTATCTTCATTGGACTATATAAGTTAACACTTAGGTATGTACCTATGTGTAAACACAGAGAAAATTATATTATTTGCTTGTATAAGCATACTGTGGTTCTGGTGCAAGTTTGACCCTGAAGTCACTATAATCCCATTTCAGAAGTTGACCTGTTATGGATTCTTGTTGAATATATGGCCCTGATTTATAATCCTGTATTTGTCCATACCCCATTGAAATCATATTCATAGATAAAGGAAACTCTACTGAATTTTTTTCTAACTAGACTTCCCAAATTATATGTCTAGCCCTGGCAACTTTCTCATTTTAATTGCTATTATACAACACTGTGTCATCCTGAAAGCCTGGACATATGTTTATACTTTCTCTTTTGCAAGATCACTTCAGTGAAACAGTTTCAACAGCAATAGTTGGAAAGGTTTCTAGCCTGACTTGTTTTTGTGGGATGGAGTAAGGGATTTGGAAAAAAGAGAGAACATGGCCAGATTTCCTCATTAAAACCTCAAAAACTGTCATGTTCCCGAAGGTCTCTGCTTTTTGTGACATAATTCATCAGTCTACCACCAAGTGGTTATAACACAGACTTCATAGGATTTCTTACCCTTAATAATTTTAAACAGATTTCTTTGCAGAATACTACTATACCCAAAGCTTGAAAAGTATTACCAATACACCTTCTCAGGGACACTCAGTTTTATTTCCCTTCTCCAGTGTAGAAATCCTGTCCATTCTTTCATCCTCTATCATAACGTATCGCTTTCAAATCATTTTTAGCATCTATCATCTTCCTCTCCAGTTACGAGCAGCATCAGTGAATACTAATGAAACACCCTAGAGGTAAAATATTATAAAATTAACTAAGTCCACCTTAGTATCTTTCCTTTTAGTCTCCAAGACCCCTAAATATGTGACATTATTTTTATCCACATAATCAGATTCAGTTTTTTTTTTAAAATTAGTGGTTTTAAATATAGTATCTGGAATATGGTGTCTGTCTATACAGGCATAGAAAGAAATTAGAACTTTTTATATCTTTTACTTTAAAATCTTAAAATATTTTGCTACCCCTAATTACTTTGATGTATTATATGCATCATTTACAACATCACTGATCTGCAACTAAACTTTATTCCATTGTTTTACTTGCCATAATATTAACTTATTTTTACAAAGTCGTTCATACATTTACTCAACATTCACATTTTTTATACAAATATACTTTTCTTTTGTTCTTACAATAAATAACTGAATTCAACTAAGACAATGTGTTACATTGAGAGGATGGAATTTCAAATGACCTATAATCATTAACGGATATCTTTGCATTTGAGAATTCATATCTAAAATAAAGCTAAATAATTCTCCCAATCTTGTCTTTGCTTAACAAAGGCCTTAACCATGCTCAGTGTTTTTACCAACCAACTAGATAACATTCCCTCTACTGATCTAGTCTCTAAGCTATTGTATCTCTCCCCATTTAAGAATAACCATTAGTCCATTTGAGGTAATGATTTGATTTTTGAGAAAATTTCTCTAGCTGATATTCTGCTTATTTAGCCATTTTTTGAAAATTAAGTTAATTCAAATTTTTAACTTATTTTGCATTTACTTCTTGCACCAACTTTGTTTTTCTTAATATTTATGTGCATTTCTTCCCAATAGCGTAAGTTTAAACTTCTTTTAACTATGAAACTCATCCTTTCCCAGTGTTGATTGGTCTAAATAATACATTACCAGTCATTCTCACTTGAGTACAATTTTACTATTCTTGAGATAAAATCACTGAAATTTTTCTATGTATGTAGTGGAAATACTGAAGTTCCTTATTTCTCTTATGCTAGAGCCCGGGTGGCTCAGCTGGTAAGGAATCCACCTGTAATGCGGGAGACCTGGGTTCAGTCCCTGGATTGTGAAGATTCCCTGGAGAAGGGAAAGGCTACCCACTCCAGTGTTCTGGCCTGGAGAATTCCATGGACTGGATAGTCCACGGGGTCGCAGAGTCGGACACGACTGAGGAACTTGCACTTTTTCAGAGTCAGATGTCATTATGTGTAATGAGATTCTCTAAGGATTTGTTCAGCCTCTATTCTACCATATTCATTTTCTTCTTTGGCAGGTAATGATTTAACAATTGTCGGAAACCACAGTTCTTAAAAAGATTAAATTAAAAATACAACTTGTTTGCTCTCATGAGCCACCCTTCCGTTTTATAGCATGGCCTTCATGAGAGAGGTGCATTTATCCTGATTTTTAAATGGGGTGGCAAGAGGAGCTCATAATTGTTTTTTTTTTCAGTTCCCCAAATAATAATTTATTTTGTATTTACAGTAATTGTTTTTATTGTTATGATAAGGTGAAGCTTAACATCTCTGCATTAAGTGCTTCTTGGTAAGCATACTCCTGTAAACCTGTGGTGAGTTGTGCATAAGAATTATACACCAGGATGACAGCGTTTGTAAGTTGGACTTTTTTTTAAAAAAAGCGTAAGTTGGGCTTAAAAAAAAATGCCTCATATATACCTCTGCAGCAGTTTGGGTGTGTATATAGCATAGTATTTCAAAGTAGATGTATTGGCATAACCTCCTGCCTTCAGCAAACAGATGGCTCTCCATCTTGCCACACATATGTTGGAGAGAGAATTGCTCTGCTGTGTGCCTTAAGTCAATATTTACTCAGTGAACTGTGGCTTTTCACCAGAGCCCATAGAATGAATTAATTTTACAAAATAAAAACAAAAAAGGTGAGATGTTTGGTATAATGCTTTTTCAGATGCCTGTCTACAGAGATGTATGGTGGGATGGGTGAGAGTGTCTGAGGGTCTGCTGTGATCTCACAGAATGGTCGGACTGTATGCTTTTTCCATTTTCCACACAAATTATAGGTTCACATTTTAGTTGCAATAGTAATCATGCAGATGTAGGTGTTACTTCAAATCACTGGATCATTAGATTCCCCAGAGAAATCTAAGCTAATATGGCATAAAAATTGATAGTGTCATTTACATGTTCTTAATGGAATCTTTAAAACTCCTGCACTGTCTTTTTTTCTAAGTATATTTTTATCAAATAAAGTTATGCACTTTTTGCAGAGCTATTAATAATAACATAATGCTCATGCAACTGTCACCATCTTAAGAAATTAAACATTACAAATACAAATTGAAATTGACTATGAACTCTTGCCCAGAGCACATTTCTCTACCTTCCCAAGGAAAGCTTTGTTCCTGAATTTAATATTAAAATTCATTCTGCATGACTGAAAATGTCAATAGGATTGTCATACTGTAATACTCACATATAACTTGATTTTTTTGGTTCAGATGTATATTTTTTGAGATAAGCCTTGTTTTTAGCCTTATCTTTCACTTTCATTTGAGCAAATATTCCATAATGTAGTTATCTGTTCTACATTTGTTGGACTTTTTGATTGTTTGTAATGTTTTGCTTCTATAAAAAACTGTGCCTTGAAAATTATTGCACATTATCTTCCAATATACATACGTAGGCTATTCTGTAGGGTATGTGTGAGTGGTGTGTGTGAGTGTGTGTGCACTTAGTCACTCGGTTGTGTCTGACTCTGTGACCCCATGGATTGTAGCCCGCCAGGCTCCTCTGTCCACGGGATTTCCCAGGCGAGAATACTGGAGTGGGTTGCCATTTCCTTCTCCAGGGGATCTTCCCCACCCAGGGATTGAACCTGTGTCTCCTGCATTGGCAGGTAGATTCTTTACCACTGAGCCACCTGGGAAGCCCTCTTCTACATGGTATATACCCAGAATTGGAATAATTTGGCC